TATGCAAGAGGAAGTTATTAGCAATGTCAGTGAGATGTCTGATTTGCTGGTATAATAATAATAATATAAAATTTAATAACTTATAAATTGCAAAATACACTCAAAGTTTGGGTTTATGACATTTTAAAAAATGTTTTTGAAAGTCGACGCTTATCAAAGCTACATTTTTTGATTAAAAAAATACTGTAAAAACAGTCATATTAATAATACAAGTATTAATTTAAAAAAAATCTGACTGACCTGAAACAGTGTAACTTTGCATAAATATGAAGTAATAATAATTATAAGATGAAGAATTATAAAAATATCATTATCATATATATATTAAATAACTGTTATTTTAAATGATTATATTTAAGTTATATTTGTGCAGTGGCATTTTTGTAGATTGTTGTAGATTAAAAAAACTATTTCTAATTAAGTTACATGTCTCTAACTAGAGAGTGAATGGCTGTTAAAAGTTGAGCAATTATCCGAACTCACTTTGAATAGTCACTGTGTGCTATTCTTTGAATGGTACCAATTATCTGTTAACTAAATATTAAAGAGGTGAGAACAGATTTTTAGCTGATAACAAAAAGTGTGAATAATGACAAAAACACGAGCCGATTATCGGTCCATCTGTAGTTATACAGACGAGAAGTGTGAGTTTGAGCTAAACTAGATTCAGAGTTTCAAGAGCCGAAGCCGCTTTATCATTTTACCACCCCTCTTTAGTCTTTATTCTCTCTCTGTCGTTCTCTTACATACACGCACTTTGTTTTATCTCCCCTTTAATTTATTTTTTATTCTCGGTGTGCCTGGCTTCATAAATCAGATGATGTATTTCCCAAGATGCACCTCGCTGTACAAGCTTCTCTTATGAGGCGTGTGTGTGAGTGTGTGTATATCTTTATTAAGCAGCATTTGTGTATGTCGCGGCTCCTGTGAGACGGAGAACAAAAGGAGGCGAGTGTTTATTTCTCTGTCGAGGTGTGAATCTGATATATTGGCACAGATCCTGAATACATGCTGAATAGACAGATTCAAAGCTGTCATACCTGAACGCAGCCGTCTCAGCATGAACTATAGTTAGATGATCATCGTCTGCGTGATTTTATAAAGCGAGCTGATAGAATTGACCCAGATTTTTAATGGTGTGTGTGTGTGTGTGTGTTTGCAGCAGGAGTTTGCGCTCACAGATCAACACTCCCTGCAGTCTTTGCTTTTAATAAAAGCCTGCAAGTTCTTCACTGTAGGTTTACCATGACAAGCGCGCATGTGTGTGTGTGTGTGAGTTTACAATCTGTTTTCGCTCACAATCTCCCCTTTCTTTTTTTGTTTCTGTTTGCATCTGTGCGTCACACACACTTTCTACCTGCTTCTGTTTTTGTCAATCAATCGGTCACTGTTTCTATCTCTATCACATCTCCTGTCAGAACACTGCCTGCTTTTGTGAAAAAGAAGTGCGCTTAATTGTGTTTAACACGAACATGTGCTGAACTTCAAAAAAGTACATAAAAAAAAAACTACTTGCAGATACTATCAAATTAAAGGGTTTGTTCACCCAAAAGTAAAAATTCTGTCATTAATTACTCACCCTCATGTCGTTCCAAACCCATAAGACCTTCGTTTATCTTCGGAACACAAATTAAAATATTTTTGATGAAATCCGAGAACCCTCCATAGACAGCAACACAACTGACACGTTCAAGGCAGAAACGTAGTAAGGACATCATTCAAATACTCCATGTGACATCAGTGGTTCAACCTTAATTTTAGGTAGCTACGAGAATAATTTTTGTGCGCAAAGAAAAAAATAACGACTTTATTCAACAATTCTTCTCTTCTGTCAGTTTTTGACACACTTTCACAAAAGTACCAAGACACATGCGTGTGCATTCTTCAGCTTGTAAACAAATTCTTTGCACGCAAAAATTATTCTCGTAGCTTCATAACATTACGGTCGAACCACTGATGTCACATGGACTATTGTAATAACGTCTTCACATTTCAGTCACATTGCTGTCTATGGAGGGTCAGAAAGCTCTCGGATTTCATTAAAATATCTTAATTTGTGTTCCGAAGATGAACGAAGGTCTTTTGGGTTTGGAACGACATGAGGGTGAATAATTAATGACAGAATTGTCATTTTTGGGTGAACTATCCCTTAAAAGCCAATTAAGTGTACTTAAAGAGAGAATACTTTTTTGACTATTTCTTAACAACTAAGCATCCATTTAAGTGCCCTTTGTAATAATGACAAATTTTCCTTTAAAGTACATTGTTATAATAATCTTTTGTCATGCTTTAAAGACGTACACATATTTTGATGTGTTGACTAACATACTAAAGCACATGTGAAGTACCTGATTATAATTTTAACTGTGGTGTGTAATTCAATATTACATTTAAGGTTAAGATTTTAAATGTACAAAATGTGTAATCACAAATATATTTAAATTCATGACAAGTTTTAATAGATGACAATTTTATGAAAAATCTAAAAATTTATATTAAAACAACATATACTGTTTCTCATTTGGTATGTATATATATATATATATATATGTTACGGGGCTGACAAGACGTGAGACGTGCGGATCCATATGCAAGCTTTTATTTTGGAGAAGACAGAGACGTGGTCATAAAACAGGCAGGGTCAAACAGGTATATGGCGGGCAAGACACAAGAATAGTCCTAGGGCTAGCGTAGGTCGATGAACGACAAACAGAATCAGAAGGGGCAAGGCCCCCCATGGCGGAGCGGAGGACCACCAGAGCCAGACAGACCACCACGGCGGAGCGGAGGGCCACCATGGCAGAGCAGAGAACCACCGGAGCCAGACAGACCACCACGGCGGAGCAGAAGGAACAGAGAACCACACCGATCAGGAGACCATGGCGGAGACTGTAACAACGAGAGAGCAGAGACAGACAGAACATTGGGGTTGATAGACAAGACTGAGCATTCAGGGGTAGCCTCCCTGGCAGACACAAAGCACACAAAGAATTCACAAACGGCCTCCATAGCCAGGACAGAACAGGATGAGGATTCCCCGACGGCCTCCATAGCCGTGACAGGACGAGCAGGGAGCTCACAAACGGCCTCTATAGCTGTGACAGGACGAGCAGGGAGTTCGCAAAC